AGGTGGTGCTGTGGCCGGTAGCGGGTGTGCCCCACTGGGAGAGGATGCCAGCAGGAAGCATGTGCAGGGTAAGGGCTGCTGCAGAGACCAGGGAGAGGAGAGGGCGTCAGGGCAGTGGCTGGGCAGTGGGCAGGGCCCATTCTGAATTTGGAGGTCAGGAAGAAAATGAGAGCAGGACTGGAAGGCGAGGCGTCCACAGGGAGCTGGGATGCGACACTCACATGTGGCCTAGGGCTGGACACTGGGTACTGATTTGGATGGGGGCTGAATTGCAGAGGGGATGGACACAGCCTTAGGTAGGAGATGGAGAGGCAGGGTGTGGGGGCAGGACATAACAGTGTCCTAGAGAGAAAGCCCACAGGAAGACATTGGCCTAAGGAAGGGCCAGGAGGCTGAGGGATTAGAGGGTTTCTGGGCAAAGGCAATGGCCAATCTGAAATAGGACACGAGGAATGAATGCTCAGAGGAGGCAGGCAGAATGAGCAAGTGTTTTTGGTCAGAAGTGGAATTTCTGATTTTGCTGTGGTGAGACAGGACTGTGGAGAGTTAGGGGGAAGGAGGAGTAACAAAGACACTATCTGTCCCTAAGGTGTGACTACAGACAAGGGGAGAAGAGGCCTGGGGACGTTTGTTGAAGATCCAGGAGTCCAGGGTCTGGCGGAAGCTGAGGCAGGGTCAGGAGGCACAGACAGCACGTTGGGGCTCAGGGCTGATGACGGAGGACAGCTGCCCAACGACTGACTGCAGAATAATGCCTTGAAGGTCTCCCAGTTGTGGACACTGTCGAGGGCTCAGACCAAGGAGCCCTGGTCTGCAGTGGGTGAGACTGGGTGCAGTGCCCCAGTTGGCCCTCCATGGGAGGGGATCAGGCCCAGGCAAGTGGAGACTCCTACCCTGGGGGTGAAACTTAAGGGGACACCAACATGCTCAGGAGTTGTGAGAATTAATACTCTAATGTACTGAGTCATTGGGAAAGTCATGATGTATTTTCCTATGCAGAAACGCATCATGACTTTCCCAAAGACCCGATAATATTTTTAATCACCAAAATCAATGCAGAAATAGTCAGGATAAACAATGATAATGGAATTCTAAATAAAGATAATGCCATAGACAAAGTTGTGTCTCCTCCAAAATCTTGCACTGAAGCCCCCAGTCCCCACGTGACTGTAATGGAAGCAGGGTTTGTAAGGAGGTGATGACAGTGAAATGAAGTCACAGGGAGGGGTCTCGATCTCTTGGAACTGATGCCCTTAAAAAGAGGGACAGACACCAGAGCTTTCTCTGCATCTCTTTCACTGTGTCCCCACCATGTGACGACTTTCCCTGTGTCCCCACCATGTGAGGACACAGTGAGAAGGACGCTGTCAGCAAGCCAGGAGGCGAGGCCTCACCAGAGCACACCTAATCGGCCCACACCTTGATCTTGGACTTCGGAGGTGTGAGAAAGTGTTTTGGATCAAGGGATGACAGACAGATGGAGCCAAGGCCCTGGGTCTTGGATGGCCAACGCATCTGTACCTGGGCGTACTCCTGGCTGGGCACAGCACTCAGACCCGTCGCTGCCATGTAGGTGCTGCCAATGGTCTTGATCTTTTCAACCCCACTGAACTTCGGCTTGGACAGCAGCTGTAAAGCGATGACAGTTGTTGAGTTACTCACTTGGGTGCTGACCTGAAGCTGAGCACTTTATAGAGCTATTCTCCAATTCTGGTTCACAGTAATATGAACATGACTTGTTTCAAGCACTGCTTATTCACCCTTCGACCTGGGGCTTTGCTGGGAAAAACACATTACACATTTCAGAAAGAGCATGTCCTTGGAAGGAAATACAGTGTAATGATTTACTTTCACTGAACATAAATTACCTTCCAATCTTTTCTAGTGAGGGAACCAGGATAAATTATGATGCAAGTGATAATGACCTCAAATAAATTTCCTGACTGTGTGTTAGAAAGGCATAAATAGAAGATTATAATTCAATGAGTGAGGTCTTCCCTGCATGATCAGAGTAGTTTACAATTAATTATTAGTGCTGAGCATTGGCTTTTACCCTCTGAGTGTTTGACAGAGGAAATACGCATCGAGGGTGTCTCCTCTCATCAGCTCCAAACCTACTATTCATTTGGGTACGAGTGGCCGCTCCCTCCTGACTCCTCTCTGATCCACCACTTTAGGCCTGGGGGTGGCATGGAGGAAAAGTAAGAATAAGCAAGAGTCAAAGGGAAAAGGAAGAATGCGGAGAGTGCATGTCAAAGAAATCCTGGAAGGTTCTGCATCTGCTCCAGAGAGCAGGGCTCAGGTGGTGCCAACCAAAGATCAGGAACATTTTATTCTTGGTATTCTGCTTTCAGAGGAGATGCTTTCAGGAGTATATGTCACGGGATGCCAGACAGATGAGCAAACCCCCTTACTTCATATCTGCATATCCACGGTCTCTTGCCCATCAGAGCTAAGCAACATTTACTTCACTGGGGAGGGCAGCTGGAACTATCGTGGTGCCGTGTACCTGGTGAAATGAGTAACCTCGGGCTGCTGTTGCTCACCATGAGTATCATGAGCCAACCTCATGGAGATGACGGGGTTAGGAGAAAATGCATGGAGACCACATGACATTTGGAAAGGAGGCCTGAAACCATCACGTTACATAATCTCATCGCTGTATTTCTAAATTCCATGAATCATGATGAACATATGTTCACGGATGTCTACTTTCCTCTATTTTTCATGGCAGTGGCAAGAATAGAGTAGCGGCAATATTCTGAAAACCAGAACTATGTTCATTCTTACCAGGAAATAGAACACATTGTTCTCTATGTAGACAGAACATTGAAAGTTAAAAAAAAAAATGACACCTATTCCAGAGTCTAAAACATATACTATTTCCCTTCTAAAATATGATTATTATTTCATATATATTTTGCTTTTTCAATAATGAAGTATGTCATCTATGCATAGTTCAAGTTGAGAACTGATAAAGACGATGAAATATGGGGACCAGCAGTTAGCGTAATGGCTATGTCGCTGGACTCCCACGTAGTCGACCACGGTTCGTGTCCTGGACCTGGTGGCTTAAACTCACACCAGGCACGTGTGCATGCATGCCCAAGATCCCAAGAGGAGAATGGAGGAGAAGGGATTGTGGCGTGGCCATCCCCGCTGGGGGGTGATTTCTCGCTTTCTGTCTCTCTGTCTCTCTCTGTCTGGCAAGCGCACGCACCCTATGGCAAAAACCTCTCAAAAAAAAAAAAAAAGAAAAAAAAAGACCATGAAATATGCATAGAAATGCCAATAATCTAGTATAATAAATATATTTATTATCTTTTCATATATAAATGGTGGGCCTGTATCTTCCTTGGTGTTCAGACCTTTCTAGAGAATTCAGTAGCACATAGGATACATATTTTATTCAAGAGATTTTGGTAGCTATTCCTAGTAGGCATATCAACTTCAAAAATAAAACATATTTGTTTCTCCCAGATTAATTAGAGAGCTAAATAGAAAAGGATCTAATGCCAGCCACCACAAATTACACCAAAGGACTAGTGTTAAGATATGGCACCATTCTGAGGTAAATTCAATGCACAAGAATTCTAAGTGGGGTGAAGTCTGCCTCTGGCCTTCAGGGGCCTCTCGGTACCTACATCATCAAAGTCAGCGATGATCTCGTTCAGAAGTCGAAGGCATTCCAGGCCCTCCTTGTTCACATCTGATTCCGTGTAAAACTCTTTGAAGTCGGGAATGGAGGCAAACATGACGCACACGCAGTCGTATGACTGGTGGTATAACTCCTGCTCAGGAGAAAGGAAGAGCTGAGCACTGGGGACCTTTTTAAACCGAACACCAAACTATCGATGCTTGGATTTGTAAAGCAATCTCCCACACACCCTACTCCGGCAGCCCCACCACAGCCCTTGGCCCATTGCTGCTGATGGAAGGCAAAGGCTTCTCATGAGCTGGACACAGGCTCCCACCACCATGACCAGTTACTGGGAGGCACTCTTTGAGTTAAGCCTCCCTGTCACCTCTACCCTCAAAAATTACAAGATGCCAAAGAGTTTTGACCCAGTAAAAGGTATATTTCAAACAATTGAAGGGACTCAAAGTAATCTCCCAAACTATTCTATGGTCCTACAATAATTTGTTATGTCCTTTGGTTGAAAATCAATGAGTTTTCCTCATCAGGAAATCAGTTCTAAAGGAAGCAGATGAAACCCATCAAGTAACCTCTTTACATCAGAAAGAACCAATGGTGTTCCTCAGGTTACTTGTTCACAGTCACCAACGGTATTCATGTAGGACATCTTTTTGTTTGTAAAGAGGAAGAGACAGCTTGCGTTTCTTTATCCATAGATATGAGTAAAATTGAGCAATGTCTTGTAAACACAGTTTCAAGATGTTTCCATGATTTTCCCAATATAGTGACACTTTCAAATTCAGTGAAGGTTTCAGAAAGACAAGGCTGTTAAATGGGCATGGGGGCTGGTCCTAGGTCTGAGGCTCTGCCCTCCCACTGGCACGGCCTTGCCAGGGCCCTGAGATGGCTCTGATGCAGTTAATGGAAATGGTGCAACATGAGAAATGCCCTCTTTACTAGTAAATGAGAAGATAGTCCTGTTGAACCAGACAGTTGGCCTCTGAGTGGAGAGAGAAGATGCAGTGCTCCCTGTGTGCATAGCAGGACAAGGGAGCACATTCCCCATGAACATTGTCAGTAAGCTCTATTCTCTGAGGCACCTGCATGAATCCTTTGGCAGGGAGTGAGCATCCAAAGAGCCCTATAACTCCAGTGTTTGCTACCTTCTCCAAGAAAATGCTCTTTCCACAATGAGGTCTCATAACAAACACAGGGCCATGGTGATCCAGCTGAGCATCACAAAAGCTTCGATGAAAAGCTACTCTAGTGTCATGTTCTTGTTCTAATTTTCCTCTAAAGCCTTCCACTACTGCTTTGAAATCTGTGCAGAACACATGAACAATGGAATCAAGGTTTTTCTTTCATTCTGTATTCAGTATGGTTGAACTGGCTTGTTGTGCAGACCCGCACGTTTCTCTCGAAGTTGCTTTTGTGAACATTCATATCCTTGGTATATAACTCGTGGCACCTATGACTTCCAAGACTAAGTTCTAGCAATGCTGCCTACAGCCGGAGTCAGGGTAACAGGGGAGAGTTAATTCCCAGGAACCGATTGAGTTGAAAATGCAAGTTTTAAGTAGTATAAACTTTCCTTACTTCCCTGCTTTTAAAGGAAGTGATACATCTAGCAAGGCAAGGGCACATTTGTCTGTGCCCTGCATTTCCCCGCTGTTGGCTGACTCTGGCCAGAGTGCCACTCTGGGGAATGATGATGGTGATGAGAATAAGCACAAGAATAGCTCGCACTTACTGAACGCTTGCCACATGACAGCTGGGTGGCTCTCTGAACAGCCTACATGCATTAACTTACTCCTGACTACAGTCCTACAGGCTGCTACTATTATTCTCCGTCTACAAATAAAGAAACTGAGGCACAGCATGGTTGCTTTCTTTGTGCAAGGCTGTAGTTACCACATCTGATTAGAGTTCATCCTTATGAGTGGCACATGTCAGACTCTATCTTGAGTCTCCTGGACCTCCCTGGGCTATGCTCTGGACTCGAGGATAGCTCAGGGCCTACTCACTTGCAGGCCCTCTTCCTTTGTCTTTCCCCAGGAGTCTGTAAGGGTGTTCGGTAGTAGGGAATAGTGAAATGTGAGGCCAAACTGACTGGCAGTTTGGATATTACATGTCAGTTCCTTCCATGGTACTTAAACAGGAGTGTGTGGGAGGAACACCAGTGGGGCTTCCAAGAAGGCAGATGCCTGAGCCTCCACACTGACCAAGTGAACCTTGTCCTTTAGGCAGGATCCAAGCACATACATCATTTTGAAAACTAATCCTGCTGGGTAGCCTCGATTAAGAACAAGAGACTAACTGGGTAGATGGAGGTCAGTGGAGCTGGGGCAGGACCCAGTTCAAGCTGTGCATTCTCTGCAGACTGCTCACCCTTCCTGTTTGGTATGCCTCCATCCATCGGAAGTACACCTAGGGTCCCCACAGCACAGCGGCCACATGAAACCTTTGGGAAAATGCCTCAGGTGAGCTCAGATCACCGGTGCCCTGGTCCTGGGACCCAGAGCATCTGGACTATAATTACTGAAAAGCAGGGGAACTTCTATTTTCCAAATTCTGTGGAGCCTACAAACTGGTAAAGGTTACAGTTATACCCTTACACTCATGAGAAGTCCCTCCAGGTCTTCATATTGGCCAGAAAATACTGTGCAATGACTTGTAGAAGACCTGAGCTTCTCTTGACCTTCCAGAGGAGGTAGGGGTTGGAGCAGGACAGGTGATCAGCCCTTAGGAGATTTTGAAATTCAGGGTCTAGAACAGGTGACTTTTGTCCAGCCCAAAGATACAGAAAAGAATCACCGAGTTTTAGAGTTTGAAGGAAGCATAGATGTCGTTCACATGTAACCATTCTGCTGAATAAACTCAAGGAATGGAGAAAGTAGTCACAAAGCAACTGTGTGTGCCCACTGCCCCTCTCACTTTACAGTGAGACTTGTTCCCCTCCTTCCTGGATGAGGACCGCGCACAGCCCAGGGCTCTCTTGTCACTCTTGAGTAATATAAGGCCCTCTCATTAGTAATTAAAGAGCCAAATAAGTCAACAAAACTCTAACCTGGCTGAGTGTGTGGCTTTGGGCCTTCCCTAGATTGGGTCTATTGTGGGGGGAAGGGGCTCAGCTGGCTTTTATTCTCCCCTTCTACCTCATACTGGGCTTCTACTTCAATTCCCTCCAGCTCCCAACACACACACACACACACACACACACACACCTTGCTAGCTGGGTTTTTCAAACCATCCAGGATGAAGAGCAGGGGAGAGAGACGTGACTGAAAATCAGAGCAATTCTCCAATAGCTATAGCGTGCTCCCTGGGGTTTCAAGCCTGGCTTTTCTCCTGGAAATATTCCCATGGGTCTCCAGAGACTCCCTACCATCTTCCCTATCACTACACATACTGCCCACGAGTCCCATGCATGGCCCTCCTGATTATTTCTACCCTTTCAGCCTCAGGTTCTTGGGCTCTGCTGGCTTCTCTGCCCTTCAAGGCAGCTTTTAAAAACTAGACCTAATTCAGCTCTTGCTTGGTCCATGAGCACCCTCTGCCCTCTGAAACACTGAAAGTCCAGTTACATCTCCAGCCATAGCCTTCAGCGCTGTGGTCCTGATGGACACGGAGCCCTGCCCTTGGCATTTTCAGGGTCAGGACTACTCAGCCCTCGCATGCTCAGCGGGACATGCTTCCCAGGACCACTCCGAGCCCCCCGTCGTGGGAACATCCCAGGCTCAGCAGCTGCACTTGTTCAGTAGACTAGAGGTGAGGGGGATCCCCACCTTCCCCTTCTCTCAGATTCTGCCATAAACCCTCCTCACCCTTTAGCTGCCATTTCCTATGCTCCATGCCACTCTAGAGTCATGTAACTGGTTTTTGAGAGAGCGTTTAACAGCTCTGCACACCATTAGTGTCTCCTTTGGAAGATGAGAGCAACTTCCCTTAGGATCACTGGCTACAATTCACTGTAATACCCTGTTACACACACGCATGCAAACACGTGCACACACCTCACACAAGTATTAGATACAAAGATGAACAAGTCCTGCCCTCCAAGGACTTAGAGTCTAGCTGGAGAGACGGCAAATAAAGAACATGACAACAAAGCGTGCTCGGCACTGCTTGGGCCCAGATGCAGTGAAGTCTGCGGCTTCCCACCCAGGCTGGAGCGTGCTCGTGAGGTCCAGAGAATGTTCAGAACTGCCGCTAATGCTTAGGTTTCCGAGCTTCCAGGCTGGTGTTTTCCAGTTTGCCAGCTGACCTGTGTGCACCTGTGTCCCCCACCATCAGCTCCTGCCTCCTTTACTCACACTCTTGGGACTATAAGTGCCCTGGAAACCCTCATGGCATGGTAGCCCAGAGCTCCTGAGGGTAGAGGAACTGCTGAGGGATTTTGCTGCTGGGCACTAGGAGGTCTCTCGAGGTTAGCAGAAAAGGAAGGCACTGTTTGTGGGTGATGTAGATCCCCCAGATGTCCCCAAATGTCCACAGGGGCATTCATGGCTTATGTGGCTTTTACAATCTAACCTCGTGTGGCTTGTTTTGATCAATCTCCACTCTCCCTAAATGGAGTTGCCTGGATCAAATCACACACAGAATCTCTTCCACGAGGGGATGTGGCAGACCAGATCTGGTGACAAAACGCTGTCTCCACCAGTGGTGCAAGCTAGCTTTGACTCTGTTGAAGGTGCTTTCCAGAAACGTCATTGCCACACAGCAGTGCAAAGAGCAGAGGGCTCCCACTGGGGGCTCAGACCTCCTGCCCAGACTGAACAGTGCGTGGGCTGAATCTGACCATGACTGTCAGAAGCAGATGGAGAAGCTTCAGGAAGTTTTAAGACAGACAAATGTCCCAGGAGAGACAGAAGAGGCACCTGCAGAGCTGGGCTCAGACACAGGCTGCGAACTCGAGGCCCGCACGCCCTGCACACAGACATAGTTTCCCTAAAGTCAAAGCTTTTTGGAATTGATTGTTACAGTGATCAAATCATTCCCGACTCCCTGTTTAAGAAGGAAAATTAATTTCTCTTGTGCACTGTGCGATAGGTAGATGAACAGAACATACCAGAGATGCTTTGTTGATGTAGGCTATGGCATAGATTGTGCCATTTTTCCAGAGACTTTCAGAAAAGCATAGAGTGGGGGACCGAAGCATTCCCACCCACCCTCAGAAGATAATCACCACCGCAGACCAGGCCCAGGGAGAAAGGACGCAGCCTCTCGGCTTTCTCCCAGAGTGCCGACTGTGGTTTTAACCGGGAAGGCCCTTCACTCTCTAAGCGGTAAAGACAGGGCCACGGTTCTGATCTCACTTGTGCACAAGACGATTCTGCTGAAATCGGATGGTGCATGAATAAACCGATCTCGAGGAGAGAATAAAGTAGGATGTCAAGGCCTATTCCTTTGTGTGTGTGTGTAGGGGGGGCAATATCTAGTTTCCCATTTCTACAAGATGCACAGAGAAGTGCCATAAATAGTTCCCTGGAAACGGGTTCATGCCATGGATGGATGCTACTATAACCTTTGTCATCTTCAAATCGGGCTGACAGCCTGCTGCTACCCCCCACACTCCAGAATCCCCCCACCCCATGTCTCTGCATGCACAGGCCAGGAGGTCTCCACTCACTCCACCCGGGGCCAGCTGGGAAAGTGGATGCTGCCCTGAGATACTTCTCCAATGCTGGATTTGGGAGTAAAATGACTGATCTGGGTTTTGTTCTTCACTTTATTCAGGTCCTAAATCGGTAGGGTCAAAAGCCTTCCCTGCAAGCTTTGGATACATTCCCAAGGTGCAGTGAGCCGTGGTCTCTGGGAGGATGGAGGCTGAGCTTCCACAGCTGGACGGTGCCGGGGCAGGGACAGGAGCTTTGCTCTCAGCCACCCAGCAGGGCCCAGCAGGCCAAGGGACTCACATGGAGCCCAGGACTGACACGACACATTCTGCATGCACTGCAGGTGGCCCTTCACTTCGAGAAGCCAGACCTCTCTTGATCCCCAGTGCTGGCCATACTCTGGCCCCATCTCTGGGGCCTCCCAGAGATGACCCCCTCCAGGGTCTATGGATTCAATAATGTTCAGCGCTACTGCTTGGGAAGCCTTAGGGGAGGTGGCACCTGGACTGACACTGAAATGGCACCAGCACCCTCACTGCTTAGCCAAGAAAAGGCCCTGGTGTCAGCCCTGCCTGGCCTGGGACTAAGGAAGATCCCGTTGTGAGGTCTAGGACATGGGTCCTTCCATTCAAAGATGAAGTCAGTCCAGGACAGGAAGATCTGATACCACGAGTGCCACAGAAAGAAGGGACAAGAATTTTCCATGGCTGATGCATCCAAATGAGTCTCTTTATATAGTCTTGTTAGCTGTTTTCAGAAAACAAACAAAACCCCCCAAATTTCCTGGAACAAAGCCAGTCCTAAGGAGACCACTGGCACCTGACCACGCGTGAGGCAGCTGGCCAGCACATCTCCGTGTGCAGGTCCTTCGTGGGGGCGATGTTTTGAATTCAGTGCCCTGCCCTGGGGGTCCTTGCTCACAGCTCTTGCCACACTAACTGTTTGCCGATGTGCACTGGAGAGTGAAAGCTGCCCTGGGGAAGTGCAGCATCTCCGAGCAGAAGCTCTGACTGTAATGAGCCCTGGGGCTCCTTTTAATGCTTTAGTCCCAAGTCCTACAGTGGCCTTCCCAGTAGCTTCCCTAACTCACAGGTTGGTGACACAGTGGGGAACTTCATGGCTAGGGGGACCCTGTGTTGTCTGACTGAGTGCGCTGAACCCTGCAGCTTATCCTGTCCATCTCTGGATGCAGGGCCAGCACCAGCTTGGCTGCAGTGCAGGGGCTGTCAGGTATTAGCTGCATGAAAACCAAGCCAACAGCTAGACTGCTTGGTGTAAAGAGGCTCCTATACTGCTGACAAAACACGTGGGTCTTTAACAGGGGAATGATGTCATGATCTGTAAACAATCTGAGCACGCTGCTGAGGATAGAAAACATCAGGAAAGTGAGCTGCCTTGCCGGGAGACCCTGGAATGCTCACCATATCCTGCAGGCTCCAGAAATGGTGTCTGGCACCTCAACTGCCACCTGGCACTTTATTCCTAACATCAACTCGACTTGAGGCTCTTTGTACTCTAGAGTCACCTGTCACACAGGATTTGAGCTTATCTATCAGCACTGTCCTCTGTCAGCTGATGCCAGAGGCTCCCCTCCGCTTCCTTCCATGGTACACTCCAAACTCCAGTGAGAACCTCCTAAGAACAGGAATTACTGACACTCAGAGCAGAGGCTTTCACACACATGGTGTTCAGACGTTTGCACACACGGTGATTCTTAAATTAAGTCCAACTGTGGATATGTCTTCTTTCTCTTGAACTTCAACACTACTAAGTACGTTTTGGGACGTTTCGTGTGCTAAACTATTTCAACATTTAATGACGCCTAGTCTTTTCAGCTCAAGCTAAGTATCCATTCCTGTTAAGCCTCCCACAAAATTCCCAGTTCCATCCCTTCAAAGGACTGGACTCCACTCTCTGGTCTGCCTCAGTGTGGGAAACTGAAAGCTCACCCATCTCACATGGGGGCCGCCGGGTTTACTGCTGCCTCTTCACTGCTGCCTTCCCTCTGGATTCGTGCCTCCATGTGTGCTGGTGGGGCAGGCACCCTTCCCTGCTGAAGGGAGGAGAGCGGCCACTCCATGCCTCAAAACACACTCAGACTTTCCATTTAAAGTGGGGGAGCAACTCATGCTGGGACAGTAGAGGTGAATTTTTTTTTTTTTTAACAGATTTTTTCCTGTAGAGCACATGCGCTCACCAGCAAGACAGACAGAGAGACATAAAGCAAGAAATCACCCCCAAGGGAGTATGGTCATGCCCCAATCCCTTCTTCTCCATTCTTCTCTAGGGATCTTGGGAACACATGTACATGTGCCTGGAATGAGTTTC